ACATTCAATATATAATGTAGATGTTACAACCTCATCTCTCTTTGTAACTAAAGATTGATAATATTAATGGCACTCTTGATTTCATTACTCCAATCATAAAATCTGCATCTCAACATGTCACAATATGAATAAAAAATGATGTTTCCTCATAAAACAAAGTTAAAGATCAAAGATGTTGAAGATCGGTCATTATGATATTGGATTTTTTCCATGCAAATCTATATCTGAAAACCACAAGCTTCTTTTTTCTCATCTCTCTACATGCTAATCAATGACCTCTGCCAACCAATATCTATTTTCAAAAACTAAATGTTATCATCACATTCTTGCTATTTATGAGAGATAATCCGCGCTCAAAGAAAAAAGCAAGAGAGCTCCGATATCATTGTAACACTAAGGATCAAAAGAGTATCTCACTTGAATATGAAACACAATTCTAAAGATGAAAAATATCTGAAATATTTTCCTTTTCCTTATAAAGATCTTTCAAACACATACACGAAGATAAGTTATTCTTCAATCTACTCCTAGTACACTTCATCATGTCATCAATACTCTCCTAGTGGATTGATAACATGACGTATAAATCAAACCTAATGAGCACACTGATTGCCAATGTGTCAATTTCAAATAATACACTAATACCACATTCAATTTTTACCTAACAAGCACATAGATTGCTCATGTGTCACTCTCAACTAGCACATTTACTCTCTATCTATCAATCATGTATATATCTTTTTTGACAACGATAGATGTAACAATATCTTCATCTTGAATAAACTATTCTTCGACTCTAACTAAAGATGATTACAATTTTGCGCATATGTATGTATGTTTGTGCGTGTTGTTATGTTTGTTGATATTTTCATTTTTTGCTTAATTTTCAATAAATTAAAATATATCATCTTGAATCAATTAATAATGTGTTGATTAATCTCAAAACTTTAAAATAATCTCTATATAGATATATATCAAAATAATTTTTGATAAAAATATATAACTTTAATCAAAAAATTTATATTTTTTCATAAGATAGTATAAAATTTTCAATAATTATGTAATTATAATTTTTTACACATTTTAATTATATAAAAAAATATTTAATCAACTATATTCACAATTTCTTGTGTATTATATTGTTAATATATAAGGATGATGGATAATGAGGATAAATCTTTTCTTAGATTTAGTTTATTATATTTATTAAACTAAAATAAAAAATTAAATATAATTTGTAGAATTATCAAATCACATGATTTAATTTTTACATTTTTACAATTTCTCATTTTTTAAACTTTGTAATCACATCATATCAATCGCTTTTATAATTTTTTAATAATTTTACAATATCAAATTAAATATTGAATAAATTTATTTCAATATCATACCTTAATTTATTGCACATATATCAAAAATCACATCGTATATCAAATGTTATTTCAAGCTTCAATTGCAATTTAAATAAGTTTTTACACTGGAGTATATCATTTTCAAAGATTGATGTAATTGAACAATTCAAATATCAATTTTAACTATATCATAATCTAAATATTTGTGGAATTGAACTCAAACTCCTCTATTATTCTGAGAATTTTTGTTAACCACATAACATATCTAGAATCAATACAAACTGAGTATATCTTACAAATTTGAGTTTTTGTGTCTAGCTTTCAAACCATTTCACATCTAATATATGATTACAATAATTTGTATAACACAAATGATATTTTTATATGTGTTCAGCTTTCTATGAATTTAAATCATTTAGATTTCATCATAAATAAAACAATTTCAATCAATAATTCAGTATAGATCAATTTTATTTTTTAAAAGAAAAAATTCAATATTTTATTCAAAATAATTTTTTTACAATTAAAATTCCATCAATTTTTAATTTTTAATTTTTTAATATTTATAAGAATAATAATTTATAGAAGATCTATTTCTTACAAAAATTACTCTTCAATGGAGAAAACAATCAAATGGATTTTAAAAAATACCTGCATCAAGCGATACTAACTCATCACGTAATAATTTTGTGATGGATAAGTTTTTGATTATATAATAGTGATTTTAGATCTTACATCACTTAGAGCTTAAGTTATCAAAATCAAATAGTTTACAAGTAACACAAGCATAATCCAACACTACTGTTCTCTTGTATGTAGTGCTAGCTAAGAAATTTTTTTCTCTACAGCAATTGATACATGCTGCATGAAGTAAGCTACACAATAATCTAAAGAATATAATATTTCATGATGCTCAATATGCTCTAGAACAAATATGAGTAATTTTGCATCCATAAATCCTTTATTTTTTTAAAAAAAAATTGAGCTGAAAACTTTGTTGTTATCATGAAATACATAATGAGTATTCATAGCTAAAAAAAGTCATCACATGTAAGGTTGTTAATCGTCATGTTTGCATCAGTACTTTGGATCTCTTGAATCAAATATAGAGCCGAGATTGAATCACCAATATATTTGAATTTGAATTTTGTATCATTATCATACTTAAACCTTAAACCCTAGAGTCATTACAATATCACAATCTTAATAAGATCATAAATACCTACTTTGAACTATCTTAATGAGCATCAAATCATATCAATCTTTGAGTCTAACATCAAACACCGCAGCCATACACGTGGATGTGGATTGATGTAGTAAGTTGAGTCAGAATTTGACTATGATGATAATTTATTTACGTAAGAAAATCCTAATCAATGAGCATGTCAAAATCCAATCATCTGCATTCTTGGCTGAAAAAAATGCAAAATATACTTCTTACAATGAGTATTAGCTAGATCTACTAAGAGTGAATGTAAAGACTACTGAATTCGATGTAATGATGCAGATTGTAAACCTTAAGTGAAGAGTAGATTTATGACATTTCATGTCAAAGTTATTTCATCCACATGTATCTACATACATTAATCTATTAAAATTTACACGTGATTAATTAATTAATTAATTATACCTTATTTTCCTGCATTGATCTATTTGTTTACAACATACTAGTATCCAACTTAAAAAGTAAAATCACAAAACTTGCACAACATTTTGCATCCATACCAGATTTGCCTAATACCAATTCAGTCTCGCCATAAAACTACTTTGTCTTATTTTAATTCCTCAGTCTTCCATGCAGAGCAAAAAAGGAATGAAAAATCTTTTTTTCATACATATGCTTTAAACATAATTTAGTAGATGAATTCTATTTGATCATGAGTTTCAAGTTGGATTCTATTAGATCTATTTAAAATGTAGAGATTGAGTTTAGAATGATTGGAAAAATATATATCTATATGCAGTGAAAATGTACATGGTGAATGTTTATTACATTATATTAGTATAGAGCTGTAAAATTTAAGTATACTATTCAAAGCTCAAATAAGTATCATATTATTCCTGCGTCTCAGATTAAGTCTTGTTTCACGTCTCAATTTACAATTGTATTTTACTTCTTAGGGTGATTTTTTTCTATCGTTCCATATAAAGATGCCCAAGATTATAAAGAGAAAGTTTGACTTCTATTGCTGACAATGTAGTCCACTTATGTTCTTCCCTTTGGGTCCCACGGGCTTGATCTATATACCATTTAGTTCCAGCATAAAATGACATAAAGATTGCATTAAAGAGCAAGTCTCAGCAACGTAGAGAGAAGTAACAACACCAGATAACGACTCTATCTGACCTAACAGATGAGATGTTTTTCGTGATGCTATTGCAGACTACCCCAAGTTGCCAGTTCAGTTTCATGGTTTCATCCTTCTCGCAGTTAATGGGTTTCCCCATTATACCGGGTGTTCTTTAAGAATTATATCTCCTGTTCTATCGGTACTCAAGCCCAATGATGAATTCAAGAGCAGGGATTGTTCATGAACATGGACCGAGATAATGTTTGAAGTATTTGAAAATCTAACATCTGAGCCTCAACTCATCGTCGCATCAATTTTCTCTTCTCCAGCATCATAGGTCTTACAATCCGTTTCCTGGAATCCAAATGAGAGTGCAGTAGCTCAAATTCGAATCTTCATTAGAACATTCTGAGCGCGGACGAAACTCATTCAATCTTCTCGAGGAACTTCTGCTCAATAATCCACGTTGAAGTGAACGACTCCTCATTGCGCAGTCTTGTGTGCTAGGAGCTGTGCTTACACTATTCCAGTGGATGGAGATCCTCTAACGGTAGTGGCAGATCTAATGGCTAATGGTTTCGTGTAGTGCTCGACCAAGGAACAGGGAAGGATGAATCCCCAGGAACGAAGACCCGCAAGGATGCGTCCATGCTAACGCTGTTCACGCGCTTCAGGGCTGTTGACCAGGGTCCGCTACACGGCAGACTCAAGTAAACGTGAACTACAGTACCTTAGGCGGCAAAGACACTTTCCCAGGAAGACTATTTCGACATGCTGCAAGTAATCGACTCAATACACGATGTAAGACTGATGCATTCCGCTTTTCAGAATCTCAGTGAAGCAGAGATTTGGCAAGTCGGAGATCCAACTAGTCGTGTAGTTACCACTGCAGGAATTACAAGACAGTGGACAATAGTTTCCGCCGGGCCAGCGACGAAAATGCTAAGCAGACCGCTTCTGCACTTAAATTTTCGAGTCGAGACACTTCAATCGAACATGCATCACATCAGACGAAGCGGATACGTAGTATATCCAAGAAGGGACCTGGACGAGTGACTCCGGAGAAGTCCGCACTACCATCCAAGCTGCTAATGACGATTTCTAACCATGCTCACGCTTCGTCGCTTAGTAAAGATTAACTACAACGTTGACCTCCACAACGACCTGTAAAAATAACGCGTAATCTCAAGGTCCGAGAAGAAGATTCCACCAACACAATATGCGACTTTCACAACTCCCAGAAGAATCGCAGAATTGGTTCTCGGATTCAATGTACCACTCCGTCAAGACAACCGCTACAAAGATGAGCAAAAGTTGACCCTTGATACAATGCGTCCAAAAAACTTCAGTCACAGTTACCGCAAAGAATCCCATTATTGGACGAAACCCCCAACACCCAAATTTTTATAGCACACGCGAGACTTTTCCCCGCGAATTTCACTACTACGTGCGAAATCTCGAAATGGTACGAGTGCTCAAGTCTCACAGTAGATCCTTCACCTACCTTTCATATATAAACCACATCCTGCAGTCGAATTGCATTTAATATCTTGCTCTTTCCCGATGTATACCCTTATATTCTATGACAGCTTCCCGCACGCCTTAAACATTCGTTCTCCATTATCACATTGGATGCAACTCATAAATGACAACCCTTTGTAAAGCTCATGTGCAGACCTTTACACGGTTCGTAGAGCAGGATACGTATATGAGATCAGTGATGCTACTCCCTTCCATGAGCAATTAAGGTACCGGTTCAACCCTGAGCTAGAGAGCCAATGTACAGGGCTTGAGTACATGCCCTACAAAGACCTACAAGGTAGTAGCTGCTACTTCTACGTTCTCAGACAGACTCCGCTTCAACAACAGCAGAATTACTTGGGGGTTTCAACGCTTCTGTCTCCTCCCCGACCGAGTCAGGTACAACTGCCTGCTCAAGACAGCAAGTCCCTGTGTTAAAAACCTCGCACGTTGTTCACCTCTAAGATAAAAAGGACGTGGGATACACATCTCAGAGCATGAACAGCCATGCACAATATGATGACCCAACCAAAATGAGCTAGCAACGAGAATTATATTAACGATCGAAGGATCGGGATTACAAGTTCATGAATGGGAGGTGACATGAACTCACCAGATGAATCGGTCCGACAATGTAGTTAACTACCCTTGCCTATAAACTCTAAAAAAAATTTCATGACTCAATTTGCGGACAGTTGCAAAGAAATTACATCCACGTCACATGCCTGAAGGCAGGCCCGACTGATAGAGGCCTGTGTTCTTTTGAGAAACTAACTCTAGTTCAATGCCTGAAAGAAACACAATGCTGATATACTTGTGAGTGAAAACATGACAAGCCAAATAAGCTTATCAAGAGCACTCAAAGAATCAATCACTAAATACAGAACAGTGAAACTGCCAACGAACGCTCTATCCCGCCACCCACTCTCCTCCCTTCTCCTCAAGAACCAGGTCTCTAATTTCATGAAAGCTGGGCAGCAATGATGCAATCAATGAAAGGCCACTATTCAGGCAGGACAGTGTTGCCTCATTTGACCCTCAGAACACGGCTTCTTGAAGAAACATAACGAAAACTTGAGCACGAGGTCTGAAGAGTCAATAGAGATACACCCATCCACCTTGCAGTCCCTTAGTCTCTGGAAGAGCTTGCCTTGTCAGTCGGAGCGGGCTTTTTCCCAGAGTAGCGCTGCAGATACGATACAAAGTTGGCAAGGGTGTCATTAATCGGTTAATTTGGGTGACCCGATACGAAGATTTGAAGAATTAGTGGAGGAAGACAGGAGAGTAGGCAACTAAATAACTCAGAGGAGTCAGAGTTTGAAACCGTACCGTTTTGCCTAGCGAGAATGGGATGTATTTGTACTTTATCATGTGCTTTATTTGTCGCTTCATTGTAAGAACAAATAGCACAATCCAGTAGAGAAGCAGAATGGGCCAAAACACAGGGACATCAAAAATCGAGAAGAAGGTCAAACAAAACGCCACGACGAACGCCTTTGTCAGGGCATACCTGCACAGAAACGGAATACATTTGGATTAGGTTTACTATAATGGTTGATTGCGGCATATAAACCTAGCCCACACAAAGGTCAACGCGAAACAATCAGGTATGCAATTGACATATCGACGTTGCGCAGACCTCAATGAACTGAAACCAACTAGATATAATCATGCGATGTAGTCATATTGGACCTATAATTGACAAATGTAAAGGCCGAGCTGCATACACAAAAGTGAAAGACGAGCTGACAAATGGAAGAGCAGATTTCTTTGTGCGCCATCACGTCTGTTTTAAACTTATCATACTGTTGAACACTTGTCTCAATCTACGGTTATGTCCTTCACTTCACGAAGGATCTAGAGATTGCTGAGAAGGTAGAAAGGGTAGCGCGTGTTGGGTGTGTGATATACAAGACCTCGCATATGAACAAGACAACGGATCCACAGACATCGACAACAGTGAGCTGAATTAGCCCTTCTAGAAAAGCTAAGCGTTTACATCTCAAAAGATCGTCACGCATAAAACCGGAAAATCAGGTCATACAGACAGAGTTGAGATGATGGGTACTGCAAGACCTAAGTCCAGGTTACAGACGTCTGTCAGCTTACAAGTCAACTTAGTCATCTGTTTTACGTGCTTATATGTGTTTGTAAAGAATATCTATTCACGTTCTGACGGAATGTCCAGTTAGACTAGAAGTAATCAACATTCCGGAAAGACACTCGGCAAACGGGGTTGTAAAGAAAAAATTGCCTCTGAGACCCAATCGCGAACACTGATTGTGAATCTTTTTGAGAACTGGTATAGGAGGACAAGGAAAGGCGAAACAAGCTTAACGCAGAGAGAGACGAGCACATTTCGAAGTTTGCCTCCCTTTAAAAATCAGGAAGCATACGTGCAAACTAACTTTGAAGCACAACGTCGGAAAAACTGCTGTTTAGTGGTTGAAAGTGGTAGGCTAGAGTTCAGCTACAAAACACGAGGAATAGACCTATTCTAATTACCTGATCAGCAGCAGCCAAAAACAGCAAGTAATTGGAGATCTGACAGGCAGGAAGGAGGAAGGTCGGAACGAGTCCCTCCCTTGACCAAACAATTTTGCAGAAACGCAAAGCAAACTTAGGAGTGAGAATTTAACCAGAATTTGAATTCGGGGAGTCGACGTATGAAAGGCTTGAATTCATCGCTGCCCCTTGTAGGAAGAGCAGGCCCTTCGCTCTCCGGATCAACTTGTGGAGACAGAAACCCTATGAGCAAGTTCAGAATGTAGATGCCCAGGCCGTATGTCACGATGTAGAAACCCTTAACATAGTAGACCCGGAGGCAATATAGCGCGGCGGCTACCAATGAACCAATCCAACGGGCCACTGGATGGGGTGTCGACTTGTCCAGGTAATACTGGAACTTCCGAGACATATTGTCTCTCCATTTCGCTGCCGGTCCACCTCCTCCTATGACCGCATCCTCCCCATAGAACCCCTCCATTGCACCTGGCTGAAACTTGCCCTCGGATCTGACAGCAATAACACGTCGTCTCCTCCTCCTCCTAGCTCCCGCCCCGCCCCTGCGAGGCCCTCCCGCTATTCAATCTCAACCCTACAACGTCTGTGCCCCGCGACCACCTTCTTCCTTCCCACAAATTTCTCCTTCCTCGCTCTTCTCCACCTCCTCGTACTGTCTCCTCCTTCACGCCCATCCCATCCCGGAAGGATTCATCCCACCCCGCCTGCTGCTCCTCTTCTTTCTGTCTTCGCTGCCTTCCTTGCCTCTCCTCCTCCTCGCCGCGATCAATCAATCCTCGCTCGCTTTCACCTCTAAAGCCCCAAACAGACCCAAAGACACTGCTGCTCGCAGCTCTCCTAAGATCGATTCCTGTCGCCGCTGCACCCTCCCGTTCCCTTAACTTCGCGGAATCCTGCCGAGGGAAAAAGAAGTCACACAACGCCAACCTTTTCCACTCCTTTCGGCCCCGACACCCCAGCCTTGGTGGCGCAAAGATCAGTTGGCTGGCTGGCTCCCTGCTAACGATCGATGGGTCGGACGCAGAAGAACTCCTTCCCCTCGATCTTCTTCTTCCTCCTCTCCTCTGCCTCCCTCGCTCGCTCGCTGCGTCCCCCGTACTGTATAAGCCTCTCTTCCCTCTATCGATGCCTCGCCTTTCCTCTTCCGAAGCCTTCGGAATGGTAACTCGATGTTGTCAAAACCCTTCTCCTCGCAAGGACTTTTTCACTTCACAGTCCTCCACTTTACTCCCGCTACTCTCTCAGGGCCTCCCGCCGTCCCTTCCTCGCCGCAACCGACCGACCCGCCCACCATTCCATGGTTTCCCTTGCTCGTCGGACTCCGCCTGCCGGTCGATCGCGGGTTTCTGCCGCCCCCGTGCTCACATTGTCCTCGGAAGGCCCAGTACCGTAGCCGTGAACCTTCGGAATTTCGGCCTCGACGGTAAAATATCGACCGCACTCGGTCAGGGTAGATCTAACGGCTGAGATGACACTTCTCAGAGGTGGAAGGTGACCGGCATTGGACGCTCCGGTTAAGTGCTTGGAAGTAGAGTACTCTCGAGGCTCGAGCAACTACTGCCTGTGCCCCGGAGAGCTGTCCGGTCGACCCAGCCAGCCAGGTCTCTCACGAAGCATCATCTTAACTAACGGACAAGTGTCCTGTTTATGGAATCTTCTTGACCATCCGATTGGTAAGCAGTGCGTGCCTCCCCTCCCCATTACTGCAGCATACCGACATCTCACCCGATGTACCGGAAGTCCACTATATGTATTGAATTATAAACTATACAAATTTCAGGAGTCTATTTCTATTTCGGCGGTTCAGTTTAGCCCACGCCGAAAACAGTCAGCTTCGCCCACTACCCTCCCTTAACCTGAGGCATGGCCTGTATCTATTTACACCACCTCCATCCAATTTCGACGAATTCTCCTCAAAACTTCACTAAAACCCCTACTTTGGCATTTCTTTGCATCTAAACTCGTAGCTATTTTGGTAACAAGGGGGCCAATTAAATGGAAGAAATGATTGATAAGACACTTTCAGGAACGAAATCAAATGGGCAAGCCCTCAATACTACTCAATTGTCATGTTACTCAAATCCTTTACAAACTACATAGTAATGGTATTAGACCAAACCTGCGGAACCCTAAAGTTCAAAACGCTAAAAAAACACAAAACAAATTATCCAAGGTTAGAACCCTTGGCTAGTGCCTAGAGCACAAGAACTAAGATCAATAATGTCTCTAAGATAACATACTAAATTGTTTGGCTCAAGCTGCGATAATTTTATGAGCAACTCTAAAAATAATATCATGTAACAAACACATGCTCTTTGTACTCAATATTTCTACCTTCACATAAATTGCAAAATCCTGCACTTCTATCAATATGTTGCTAGCGTACTTTCTCAATCTGTAGACTATGAGAATCTATTCTATGTCATGCTATGATATGACGTAAAGAGGTAAAAATCCACTTAAGAAGATATCATTGTTGACAATAAACAAGCATAGGGTTAACATGAAGTTGATAGAACTCCATTTTGGTGTCAGGTCTCCTTCAAAGAGTATTGAGAATTTTATCTTATAAATGTTGGCGAAGTGCCTCGGTTGTAAGTTTCACTCTCGTTCCGTCACATTCCACTTTGAGTTCAAGCCACCACATCAGAAAACCATCATTCAAAAAGTGTGTCTCGTGAAGCTTGGTTAGGAAGTCAAAAAGTACCAAAAGATCTTACCGGAATAGTGTAAGTGATGATCAAATAAAGTTCTTAAGCCTCAACAGGGAGACAACCTAATAATGAAAAGTAAAATAGCATAGGGGGGTTTGTTCCTTCTCCAACTCTTCTTGAACAAATATCTTCTGAATCCTCTCCAAGCACTCCCATCCTGTCTTCTTACAACAAGTATCTCACACTTGGATCCAGTATAAAGTCACCGGTAACACTAGATTCTCAAATAAGAATTTTCTAAGCTCCCAATATACAAGATGAACTCTTATACATCGGTTTAGTAATGAATAAAGAGCTTTGTAACCAGCTTCTATTCTTTTTTTCACACAATATGCCCAATTATAATCATGGAAAAAATCAATGCCTAGATATCTATAATACTTCTTGTGTTCCAGTTGTAAATCTTTCTAACATAAAAAAAAATTGTATCATCATAGTTGGAACTAGAATATAGTTCCAACTATGATGATTTTTTATTTCTCCAAGTTGATCTCCATTTCATTATGGGTACAAAAGCCTGCTAAAGCATCAAGATGTTTTTCTAGACTAATAGCATCACGTGCTAGTAATATGATATCATTTGCATACAATAGAGCTTTAATTATAAAGACTTCAAGTTTGAGACCTCCATTCTCACATTACTTTGTATAAAATTTGTGAAAAAATTCGAATAAGATGGGAAAGAAAATATAACCTTGTATTACCCCGATGGTATTCAAGATGCCTATTAATTGAGAAGCGTTTATTTTGGCACAAACTGAGCTCTATAACGTGACCACGGCTAGAAGAAGATTACACGGTACTGCAATATTTTATAATCTTTCCCATGAAAGCTTACAAGATATAGTGTCAATAGCTTTCTTGAAATCAATGAAGTCACAAAATAAAGCATTACCATTGCTCTTATATTTTTCCCATAATATTTGTAGGACCAAAATATGATCAATATTGTTGTATGTTAGACGCAAACCAACGTGTAACCTTTATCTCTTTTACAAACACTATGTCCATGGAATCAGTTTTGATTCTACCAACTTATCAAACAACTTGGCAAAAACACTTCCAACCATGATAGTGCGATAGTTTGTGACTGCGGTTTTACTTCCTGATTCGTGGATACAACAATCTTCCATATCGATCATGGTCTAGAAAAATCATGGATGGAAGCATCTTTCAAAGCTTTTGTGAAAGATTGTCCAACACATTCTTCTCCTCAGTTGAAAGGTTCAACACACAAATCATCTAAGTACTCATATTTTCCATTTGCTAATCTCCTGAGTAGATTCATCAACTACTCTTCAGAAAATAAACCTGATATGCTTTGCAATTCGGCATTGAGTTAGCTTCAAGAAAGAAGTATAGCTTTTTGGAAAAAGCTAACAAAGATTTGGAATCCAAAGGAGGTGTTGAGGATGATTATTCCAACCTTTCATCATCTCCTTAGTCAAGGATTCTTAGTTTCGCCTTAAGAAAGCTTGATCATTGGACTTCACCAAATCTTTTTATATCATTGTCTAAAGAAACTAACTTTGAATAATCAAAAACTTATTAACACATCTCGTCCTAGCTAGTTTGCAATTAGAATCGTACCATCCATTATAAGGCAGAACTTTAGTTCTCATGTTTCTATGCCGCAAAACAAACTTATACGAGTAATTTTTAAGCAATTCTATAAGTTGCAAACCAGTTGCATGTGGATCTTGACTCTATACTATGCGAGTCAAAAGATCTTGTAAATATGTTGCATAAAGATTTTTTTTAGTAGAAACTTAACGCAATTTTGAAGCGAATGAAACAGATTGTCCGGTTGAATGCATGATCGGCTTTAGCATTGATAATGTAAATAGTAGAATTGAATGGTCAAATTATGAATGAGTGTAAAGAACTTAATAAATAGAAATAAGAGAGCTATTAATTTAAAAGTTCAAAAAATCATCTATTGTGCTAACACTATAAGATGAAATACATGTATTAAAATCAGAGTTGGAAAATTGGTACTATCTATTAAGAGGCAATTTTCCTTGAAGAATTAATTAAAAACCTACAAAGTTACAAATGATTTCAAAAGTAAAAATTGCTATGTTATAGAGTTTGTAAAAATATCAAAAGAGATTTTAAACCACATACTATCATCAATTTTTTCAAATACAATAGAGGTTAGAGAGCTACTGAATTGAATGAATTAGATAGAACGTATACTGCAATTAAAATCACCAGATAGAAAAACGTGTCCTTTTGTTTGAAATTAAAAAACATATCTAATGAGTCAATGAAATGATTTACTCTCATAACAATATCATGTTGAGAAGATTTGGATGAATAATGGTGCACAATAACAGATTGCCACATAGCAATGAGATCCTCCAATCAAACCAATACGTAACCAATGATATTGATCTCCGATTCCTTGAACTTTGAGATGAATCAAAGATAAATTTGATACTAGGTCAAAAAAGCAATACCTCCATGACACTTTCTTGCATGTTGTATTCTTTAGTTTCATGTTGAACTTCCTAAAGTAAATCCTTTGAGCTCAGCGATAGTATTTCTGTAATCTTTCCAAGTTTCCGCATGATGTTTATGACGTCTGTCATCTCTCAAATCGAAACAACACTCACATATTTGGTTGATGACAATACTTGAATAATCCAGATCAACATAGTCAGCTTATTGAATTGCTAGGTAGAGGATTTTTATTTTTATTTTAGTTACAATTCTTCTACCATCACGCAAATATGCAACAAAATTGCATACTTGAGTTTCTTTGATCGTTGCAAGTTCTTTCCTTCTAGCCTTTGTAGTGGAGTAATTTCAAGATTCAACCATATTTTATGTCCTTTGAGTTTAATCTTGCGGGCTATGATTGTATCATGTTGAGTTTGATCGGCAAACCTAACAACAATGGCTAAAGATTGTGTGCCAATTTTACAATACAATAAGCTTGAACCAAGTATGTGTTATGAACGATTTGGTAGTATGTCAACTATTAAATTGATGACAACTCTCTTCACATCTTTGTTTCTCATAAACCTAATAATCTATCAAATTTTCTATGAGCATATTGATTAGCATTTTTTATCTCCTGCTCTTGACGGAAAGAAATGTGAGCCACATTCGTACTTTCAGCATATGATTTGAGTTTTGACTCTATAGTGTCTATTCCCTCATATTATGCTGGACTATTGAAAACTATCACTAATGATGTTGTTTTTGTTTGAACATATGAATCATCACCGTTAAATTATCTTGTATCTCTTTTCTCATATAAGCTTTTCAATTTTTTGGTTTGAGTATGCGCAAGAGTATATTATGCACTTTTTACCTTGAATTCTTATCAAAATTCATTTAGATTATTCAAACTTG